AGTGTTGTCTAGCATTGCAGCAGAAACCATTGAGGAATATATTAACGCTGGGCATGTTGGGCCTGAGCTGTAACCCTGACGATGATCTGATGTCTCTGTATTAACGGCAGGAGTGAGGAAGAGTTGGGCATAAGAAGGAAAGGCTCGGACTTTCACCAAGATGACTTGTGCCAGGTGTTGGACAATGACGGGAACAAAAGAGAGATTTGAACACGGCACTTCAAAAACTTTCCCTTTTCTATTCTGTGTGAGCCCTGCCTCATCCACCGCTGAGCCTTTCTTCCTCGCCGTCTTTCCTCTCTTAATTGCTGCTTGCTGAATCCCTTGTTCTTCCTCCTCATCCCCCCTGTGTTCTGCTTGTCTCCCTCCACGGCTCCCTCTGTCCCTGTCTATCTTCTTTTGCTTTTTTTTTTTTAATGTCATCCTCTTGAAATCTCCCCCCCCTCTACCCCCCCATCAGTCGCCATCCTCACATTTCTCACTCTCTCCTCTCCTTCATCCTTCTCTCCTCAGCTTGCCGCTCCTCTGCGATGAGACGTTGGCACGACGTTTATCAAGGAGGCAGGCGGTTGTCACGGACAAAGTGACTAAACTTCCGATAAAATCAATGTTTAATTCAGATGACTGCAGGCCATTGACAGAAAAAGTGTGAAGCCTTTCATCTATAAAAAGACTGAGAAAAATGGGAGGATTGGGAGAGAAGGAGGGAGAGAAATGGCAAGACTAGTGGAATAGTCATCAGTTGTATCTATGACAAGGAATCACCATCAGCCCTCTGTTGAGACCTCTGTGCACTACGAAGGAGCACATACCGCCTTGCAAAGAATATTCATACTCACGCACTTTGACTAGGCCAATTTTGACTGTTCAATCGTAGGTTTTGTTGTATTTTGACCTTCACCCTAGACCTAATCTTCTGCTGCCTCTTACAGATTTTCTTAAAAAATCATCCTGTAATTCATCTGCTTTTTCATCAACCCTCATCATTTTCTCTGTCACTGATGCATCTACAGTAAAAAGTAGATATTGTCACAACATACATTCATATTCAATAAATTAAAATATACGTTTTGCTTTATCGGACTAAAAGTACCTTTCAAAAATAACCTTTAAGCAGGTTAAATATAATTTCTTTTCACTATCCCACATTTCCGCTTTTGTTTTTTTAATTGGCCTGATGTAATATTCTAATTTTAAATGTCCTGATGTCATTAATTGTATATGGGAATAAAGGCTTTCAAATGTATATCTGTGAGTAATCTTTATGTGTTCTTCTTACTGTAGTGAATGGCATCCAAAGCTTTTTGTTAGAAAAAAAAACCTGATTTCTTAATTTTTTACAATTAAAAAAAATTAAAAAAAAGAAAAAAATATATATTTTATTCTTTAAAATACCATAATTTTAAATTATAATGCCAGTCTTATTTGACTATCCAAATCTGTCAATTAGCAAACCTTCCCACCTGAGCTGTTGATCTCTGCAGCTCCCCCCGAATTACAATGGACCTTTTCTGTTCTTGCCACATCTGTCGGTTCAGATCGGATTATGTGAAGCCCAAGCCCCGTGGCTCGAATCTAGAACGAGAACGAATATCATTAACTTCTTATTAATGGTGCATCTGTATAATGCTCCCACCAATCTCACTTCATATGCAATAAAACACTGCAGCAGAAACGACAGCTCATCGCATTACTGCTCAAACGGCACTTGAGGGAGATATTTTGAAGCAACAAGAAAACTTACGGCACTTTCTACATCGCAAAGCTATGACAAACCAAGTAAGCGCTGCTGTGCTATGGAGCACACGCAGTGAGTTCACACAACACTTCACTGACTTGAGGTGAAGAAAATTATATGGCACGGTCTTATAATCCATTCGGTTATGCTGGAGAGAGCTCACCTGCAAACATCCAGATGGAGCTTAAGGAACTGCTGTGTAACAGACACTCAAGGCACAGTTTTTCCCTTTCATCGCTGACATAATGTCCCAACCCCAAGCTGCTCAAATGCTCCACGTTTGGTAGCAAGCCTACATACCTGCAGACGGAAAAAAAAAATAAAAAACCTGCTTTACTGATGCGAACCTCCAAATTATTCAAAGAGTTTCCACAGCGCAGAACTTTATACCAAACACTGAATCCTATCAGTGGCAAGAGAACCACACAGAAAGGCTAAACACAAAATGAACAGAAGATCAGTATATAGGATAGGATGGATGAGGGAAAAACTGTTCTTTTTTTTCCGGCTGTTCAACTTTGATTTTCTTAAAGGACTTAGATTATTACTCGCTGCACAAATGATGGACATGCAAATTGACTGTGGAGTAAAGTTGCAAAGCTCTTCAAGCTCATATGTCAAATATGAAGAAACGCAAGTAGTAAGAGCCATTTATTTAAGGTCACAAACACTTGTGCACAAATGCCCATACACATACAATACCATGCATGCAAAAATGCCAAAACGGATACATGCGTTTGTCTGGATAACGTCTCTTGCATGAGAAGATCAACCCTTCTGGCTCTGAGCTCAAATGTCAGACCTTTACCCTTTTAGATTTGACCTCTGGTGGTGTCCAGACCTGTCAGTCGCAGACAGATATGTGCTGGAGACGAGAGAGAGAGAAAGACGTGGGGAAGGATGGAGGGGGTAAAATATAAAAATAAGATTAAAATGCCAACACTCAGATCTGCTGGAGAACAGATTGAAGTGTCATGCTGGGAGAGGAGAGAATCTGTTCCCATACAGGTGGCGAACAGAAGGTGAGGGCTGAGGGGAGAACGGGGCGAAGAGAGAGAGAAAGAGAGAGGAGGTGAGAAGAAGAGGAGAGAGGAGAAGAAGGAGGAGGGGGAGAGGGAGGAGAACTGTTACTCCTCTTACATAATGAATGAGGTGAGAAGCCACAAATTTGCTGTAGAGGCTTTATTCGTTTTACCCGGCTGTGGCCGGAGATCATGAACCCGCCACCCTTATGCACCCAGGCATAAAATCAGACCAAATTATGAATCAAAAAACCAACAGTTAACTCCGCGTGTTTTCATGCCTTGTTTCTTGCTTTACAGCATGTGTACAGTTTGTGTGCGTGTGTGTGAGTGTGTGTGTTGGACGTGTCGGCATAAATGATTAGCTAACAGGCAACTCAGAGAATGACAGGTGACCACACTACAAAGATAGAGATGTCAAGCTTCGCTGGGCGGGGGGAGGACGCCCGGAGTGATGAGTACATCGCCGCAACCCTTGTCACTTCCTATTAGCAGCCCATACACACAAACACTCAGGCTGCGAGTGTAATTAATTCATTAGTCTGCTTTAGAACGGGTGTAAACGAATGTGTGCGCATGGCTGTGCATGTAGCAGTGAATATTCACGTGTGTGTGAAGGAGAGGAAAATGTGTGTGTGTGTGTGTGTGTGTGTGTGTGTGATGGCGTGCTGTGGGTTAAAGCAGCAGGGTGCTGCTGCACACACTGAGACGCACATTAACCCTCTATACATCCTGTCACCACCACTTACGTGTCGCAGATTACCGACTGGTCAGCGCCGCAGTGTGAACCGAGAGCTTATAAGAGCAGGTATTTCGCCGGGGACGTGCTGACAACCGATTAACCCCACTGCCGTTCAGAGTTAGCCGCTTCCGCTCTTAGTTACTCCAACCTGGTCAGCTACCGTTAGGACGCACCGCGATGATTCATTTCAGTGACAACTGGCCTTTTTCTTAAGTATTTAACGGGCTTTTCAAGCTTTCATTTTCTTGTCCTTGGTAACATTCACTTTATACCTATTTTCTGTAAAATCTCTGACCTTTTCATGGAACAGACAGAACAAACCAGGGGAGAGGCTTTGCTTGGCCCCTTGTCTTCCAGCCCATTAAGTGTTTCCATCGTATTATTTATTTATTTTTATTTTTTTCAAAGTAACAATACAAAACCCTAGAAATTACAATTAAATGTCAAATTTGAGAGCTTGGACAGAAAATTGGAAGGGTGTTAGCATTCAGGGAGAGACATTCTCATCTGGCAATTAGATGTAATGGATAAAAAAAATTTTTTTAAAACTGCTTAGTTTGAGAGACACGCGACAACAGTTCACTAGTAAAAATCAAAGCCTAGACCTTATGGGTGTATTGCAGGCCCATATAAATAAATTACAGGATCATGAAATAGTTCAGTTTATTTTTCAAAACGTAAAACTCATGAACTGCAAAGAATAGGTATATACCTCCTTTCAGATTATAATGTTTTTGCTTTAAAAGAAAAAACACTTCAGATAATCAAAAAAGATTAATTAGTAATTGCTTCCTAAGTCTAATGACTCGTTATGCCACCCCTCATGGCAAAAGCTGACATTAAGAATTTGTGGTAATTGACAGGAAGTGTTTAAAGCATTTATACCAGCAATTTTTTTTGGCCTACATTTCTCTGCACAAATGTTTGAATTAAGTCACCCTCAAAACAAAATCAAACCTGGGCTTTGGCTGGATCATTTCTAATTTTATTATTATTATTATTTTTATTTTTTTGAGTCAGTCCGAGGCAGGCTTACTGATGCGCTTCCTGTCAGTTGGGAAGTTTAACCAAACGCTCTTGGTCCAGCTGCCCAAGAGTGTTTCAGCTTAAGATGACAAACCGATGGTCGGACTTTTTTTTCAGGATTTTTTTCTATTTAAAAGTGAACTTCATGGTTGAAGAAAGTCATCCAGATGTAACAAAGCAGCTCCAGATCATCGCACCACAAACACAGAATTTTATTCTGAAATGCTGTGTTTGTTTATGTCAGACTCAGCAGGACGCACAACTTCCAAAGGTCCCATGGACGCCATTTCTGCCAAGTTACTTTCCAATTATTTTGTGAGCTCTTGGATGATTTTTTTCAGAATGTGTTTGTTGAGTTGTTCTTCTTGTCCAATGAAGGTTCATCACTGTTATGTTTTTTTTTTTTTTTTAAATCCTCACTTTGGCTCTTACTATGGTCCACTGGAGTTTGCAACTCTTTGCAGACTGAATTTCATGGTTGAAGAAAGTTGAACAGATGCTGAAGCAACAAGGCAGCTCCAGATCACCAATTTGTGTTGGTGATGGTGTGAAGGCAAAGTAAGTGAATTCCTTCCTCATCCTCAGGGGTGACGTGTTGCTTTTGAGGTCATTTGTACACTTTGTGCTGTCAGACAGGTTCTGTTTAAGTGATTTTTGATTCTCCAGGTAGTAGTCATGCCTGGGTGTGTAGGTGTTCGCTCCGCACTCCTTCCTTCTGGGTGCATAGTGAAACAGAACCAAGGTGACCTGACATAATGTGGTTAATTACAGTCAACACACCATTTAACAAGGGATGCAATTAGTTCAGCAGATTTGGATAGCTGTTTTCCCTTAATAAATGCAATCATTTCAAAATGTTTCGATATTTAATGGTGCTATAAATGAAACCTTGAAACAACAACTGTGCAAAAACAAGCAATCTGTAATGGGGTGAAGACTTCTTAACAGCACCGCATAAACGCAACAACTCAGATTTGAGGGCGACATCCCCATTTCCTGAAAGATGACAGAAACAATGTGTTACCACGGCGTCGCTTCGTAACAGAAACAAAACCTCTGTGTCAGATCCAGGTCTGCCCAGATACCTGTGGGCGGTGCTTCACAAGTGAGGCCGACTAATCTGAGAGCGGGCTCTAACCCAGATCTCACTGAGTGGGAACCACCCCGGCCATCTGTAGGTCTCCACACCCTCCCTGGCACCTCACACACTCACACACATTCTGACACTTCACCTAAACCGACGCCGGAAAAGGAGGAATCAGAAGGAAGGAGATCAAAGCAGAGAGAAAAACCGAGGATGTGCCAGAGGAAGAGAAAAATATCTCCAGTCGTCATTTGCTGTATCATTTAGAAAAGTTTTTTTTTTTTTAAAGTCTGGTTCTCTCTTTTCTTTTTTTTTTCTTTTTTACCCCTCAGCTGTTGGTCTGGAAAGCAGCGTCGTAGGGCAGGCGGGCAGCGCGGTCGAGCCGACCTTCTGCAGCGGCTGGGTGGGAGGGCAGGAGGAAACCCTGCGCCCCTGCCCAGGCCTGCCGAGAGGCCATCTGGACCGGGGAAACACATGCAGAGTACCTGGCCAGACCTGGAGCTCAACTCTGACTCACGATCTCACACACACTCACACTTATGCACGACACGTCGACATGCATGCATGCACAATTAGACCCACGCACGTTTTATTTTGGACGCTCGAGCAAACACTCCTGCACACAGAATCATTAGCATTAAAGCTGTGCTGTCACATACTTGCTGCTGCAGAAGTGATAAATGTATGCATATGAACATTTATGGCGCACAAAATGTTTTTTTTAAATTTTACGGTATACTGTATGTAGTAGGATCAAGACTATATCCAGCTTGAAACTCCCACTCAAACCCACACACTCTTCCCACAGAGGCACTCGTCAGTCTGTGGTGATGTTAACGTTAAGCCCCTCCGATTCAGACCGCCAATGAGACTTTTACATTTGGTTAAAACAGTTTCTGCCTGTGTTGCTTTGGAGAGTGCTACATTTGGTTAAAAGCCATTATTATGGTAATGTGAGGGTGCTTGAGATAATAGCAAGATGAGAGCAGCTCGACTGCCTCTGACATAACAACCCTACTCTATCTCTTCAGCTTCTTCTCTCTCTATATATATTGTATTCTGCCCATCCTCCCTTTCTCTATACTTCTCTCTCCCTGACTCACCTCTATTACTTATTGCAAAGCGTTTTATTTATTTATTTATTTATTTATTTATTTATTTATTTTTTACCCGCTTCCCGTAAAGCTATTTAGTCATTAAAAGGAAACATTACCATGTGAGAGCTTTTGCTGTGGACACGTTTCGATTATATTTAAAATACTTCCTTCCTATACATTTTAACTATTGTTGAAAATTGGGACATCTGGCTGTAGTCTGTTGCTACTGAGCACTGCTTGGACTTGTCCACACAACAAAGTAAACCCCTTTATTCTGCTGACTCCAAACAAAATGCACAATCTAATCTACTGTCTGAAAATGAAATGACCATGGCACAAATTATGGCTGTCCACCTGAAATGACAAGCAGCCAAAAACGACGCTACAGAGAAGCAATGTGAGGAGAAAAGCTGACAGTGGGCATCATCCTGAAGACATCATTACCATTAAAAATATGATGGCAGCAGCATCCCACTGTGGGAATGGTTTTCTAATTATACTCAAAATGATCTTTTTTTGACTATAATTGTAGCATACAGACTCAAGTATAAATATAATGTTTAGACGGGACAAAATAAGGATGAAGGAACAATATGCGCACGTGTTTGCAGCCATTTCATATAGAAAGAAAATAAAGGTTTGATGTGACCTGAAAGAAAGCAGATCTTTAAACGGTTTGTGTCCAGCATGTGTGGGGGCGAAGATCAGCCCTAATGATCATCTCTTTGGACCAGACCTTGTTTGTTGCGGTCTGGTCCTGTCCTGTTTTCTGGATGAACCAAGCCACACAGTGGCGGACATGCACAGGGCAGGCTGAATAATTAAGGTGTAGAAAATGACCAGCCGGTGCTTTGGTAGGTTGTACTTCTGCTAGGTCTTCTTCCAAACAGAGTCTATGTCTGAAAGCAATCTCAGATCCCAAGAAAAAATGGTTTCTAGGAACTCAAAGTAATAGAAGAAAACTTGAAAATTGTTAGTTGCTCTCTATCCATTTGCAAAGAAGAGCAAAAAGTCTGTAGATGAGAAATACTTTTAGAGACACAGGCCTAAAGGACCTGGTTCGGAATCCATATCCAGCCACTTACTGAAGCTAAAGAATTTTCTTCCCCTCCACAACTATGCACTAATTTGTTTTGGGTTACAGACTGGATTCAAATAAAATAAATCTAAATTTATGATTTTAACGTGACGTAACAAGAACAAGTGCCACAGCGTAAGAAGCACCTATGTGAGGCTTTGTACAGCTAAGAGAGTTTGTCCCAGTAGGATGTATGCAGCACCATTGCTAGTTGCAGAGAACAGAAGATCAGCTCAGCGTAAAAGTCACTGGCAGGGGATTTTTCAGGTCACTAGCATTGAAAAGTCAGTAAGAAACGGAGTAAGAAAGTCAAAGAGGGAAGAACAAGTGGAAAAAGCAGAGATTGAGAGCAATGTAATGCCTCGCACATCGAAATTCCCTTAATATGATTTTGTGTTCTGTGTCTATTCAAGTCAGCTCTGATTTGGTTGTGTGTATAATCGCATCAGAGCAGGGATTTGCTCTGGCTTTTTCTCCACTGTTGTTGTGTTGTTGGGTTTTTTTTCCCTCTTATTGGAGTTGGCATCAGCCTTCATGACACAAATCCCCTCTGATAAATTAAAAATGATTGATTCAGAGTCAAAGATGGAAACAGCAATGGGAGCGCGTCCCCTCTCATGTCCACGTTTGAAGTGAATTGCACGCGCACGAGTGTCACCCCCCCACCCCCACCCCCAGTGCTCATAAGCTGCCGCCGGAGACAATGTGTGAGCACCGTAACGCGTGTAGCACATTCGTGGGTAATGCGAGGCGAAAGGATGGGCTTACAACACTGGTTTCCTGACACTTTTAAAGAATGTGAGAAGACGGCAGATATCCGACGTGTGAACCTCAAAGCCATCAGTGTGCATTTAATGCTCCGAGATTCACGTCTGCGCCAGCGTCGGCTAAAAGCGTGAAATTCTGGACCAAAAAAACGTGCGAAGATCTTACCGAGAACACGAAGTGAACTGCAAATACCTACACGAGCTCAATTACTTACATTTATACATCAACACACGATGTGTAGGCCTAATTAAGTGAGCATATATGATTCTACTTTGTCTTACATTCACTTATTCCCTCCTAAAACAGATACGCGCGCTCCCTTTGACGCACAGACACCCTCGTTGTGGGCTCTGGCTCTCCCAATTAAGCAGAGGAGTGTTGCGGCGCATCGGTGTCGGGGGGATTCTGCTTTCTTCTCCTCTGTCAGGACCCATCACAAAGGCTCCTCATTAGTGTCAACCTCAGCTGTGCCACCACTTTCTCCTATCCTCTTCCATTTCTCCCTCTCCGCCATCGCTTTGACTCTTCCTTTTCCCTCCTGAACATCTCCATCTCTCTCTCCCCCCCCCGTTTGACTTATTCAAAATCTTATTGATTGCCGAACGCCTCTCCACGGCCCTGTTGCGTACACGCTCCGGTGAATCCCGAGCCTCGACAACAGGTGTGCCGTCCGCCGGCGCTCCTAATAGCAACGGGAGTCGAGGCGTCGGGAGCAGAAAGGAGACGCTGCAAACATAGTCTCATCATTAGACTGGCAGAAATGGATGGAAGCTGATTTGTGACTCGGCACGCCGCATCACAGACACATAATGATGTTAATGATCAACGCGCCGAGCGCACGGCCTCGGCGGCAGAGTGTAAACAAGGCGGCAGGGGAGTTGGCGTGGAGTTCAGAGATCACTAGACGCGAGCGGAGGACGAGATCTGGAAGAAAAAGGCGGGGAGATAAAACAGACGACTGTTTGTTTGTTGTTTCAGTAGTTTTTGTTTTTTTTCTCCCCTGAGCAACAGTTCTCTCTATACCCCTTCACCCCCTGCTGCTGCCGCCGTGCACCTACATCCCCATTATTACCCCTGCAGTCCGACTCCATCTCTTATTCCGTCTCAGTGTGCCACATTTTACTACATAATGAAGAAATGGAGCTTTGACTTCAAGGTAAAGGTTACAGGAGCCAGATTGGGATGCAGTATAGACTCCGTCCCCGTCTGATCCTCCATGTTGCTCTGACTCGCACTCCTTTTCCGCACAATTTGGTATCAAAGACATGATAATTAGGCTGAACAGAAGTTCATCGGGCTTCTATTATTTTTCTTTAATTAATGGTGTATAATAATGACACAGAGTTACTCCGGTGCACTTTCCGACTTCTTGTGTGTGCGCGAGAGCAAAGAAAGAGTAGGGAATAGTGTGAACTCGCGCCTGTGCATGCATATCTTTTAGAGCATACATAACTTTAAACCCTGAGACGCCATGCAGATAAAAGGCGCCAAGTGTCAAAAGCTCGCAAACTTTTCTCTCCTTTCTCCTCGCCTCCTACCCCCCGCCCCCCTTCTTCTTTCTTCTCCTCCCTTCTACTCTCCTCTCTCCTTTTCCTCTCCTCTTCTCTCCTCCCCCCTTCGTGCTTCAGCTCCCTCCTCCTCGCAGCATTTGTGGAGACCTAATGAGGACATTTCTGTCACGCTCCTCAATCACACGCACAGCTGCCAAACCCCAGCCAGCTATAAGTCCCAGGTATCTGAGACTTCTCTGTTTTTTCTTCTTTTTTTTATTCCTCCCCTCCTAGATGAAAAACAACAAATAAATAAATAAACAAATAAAAAAAAGACACATTTAATGCAGCGTGGTGATGTGAAGAAGAGGAGCAAGGGGGAGTATGAGAGAGAAGACTTAAAAGGGAGACACAGTGGGAACAGAGCAAGGTTGAATTCGCTAATCTCTGAGGATGCATAAAGTGAACATGCCAACCACCTTCGGCTCTGAGGGAAAAAAAAAAAAAAAAACTCCAATGGTTCGGTGATAAATAGGATTTAAGTTGGGGTGACAGCTCCTCTGTATGTATGCATGTGTGCTTGAATGTTGTTTTTTGTGCGCCTAAGCACATTCAAATGATACGCAGCAGTGGGCATTCTTCCAGCGAGCCCCGGATGCTTTGCTTGTGACTTATCTCTCAGAAACAAAGATGGATGTGTCAGTGCGCTTATTAAAACACGCTTTTAGCCCCGGCCGCCGCTCTTCAGGAGGAAATCGCTTTCCCGGCAGCAGATTGACAGAAGAGAAAAGAGAAAACAACATCCTCATTTAGGCCCAACATCTCGGACATGATTGCTCGCTTTAAGCCGGGCGTCCCTACTGAAGATTTTTAATTGTTGTTTGCTTCTTTCGCTCACAGCCGAGGCAGCCATGGCTGGAATCTTTAATTACCTTCGCTACTTGTCCCCCATATTTCAAACAATTGCATGATTAAATGCGGTTTGTTGTTTTTTTTTTTCTTCTTTTTTTTTTTTTTTGCACCCCCCCTCTCCGTCTGCATCTTCAAAAACATCACATTTAAGTCAACAATTTTCCCCCCGTTGGCTGGCTTGTTTGTTAAACTGTTGAGCTTTTTTTTATTCTTAAAGCCACAGCTGCAACAAAGCCTCCACTTGTGCAGCAGGCAGAGCAGGCAGCCCGGCTCAGATTCAATCCAGCTTCGCCTCTATCACATTATCGCGGCGACGCGATGGTGTCAGCTTACAGAGGAAATGAAAAGATTGTTGTTGACAAATCATCGCTGACAAGAGTAGCTGAAGAGATCCCTCCAGCTTCACACAGGATTAGCTGCGTGGCATGTTAAAGACAAACACAGTGGCCTATGTGTTGCTATTTCCATCAGGGATAAAAACAAAGGCAGACGAGTAAAGTGGGGGGGCAGGTGGGGGTTGGAGAGGAAGGCTTGTCTTAAGTCTTGGCGAGATGATGGGCTTTCTTCATTCAGTATTAGCAGATTAGACGTGTTTCACGAGCCAATCTCTTCGGATGATGTGTTGGTGTGTCTGCGTGTGTAAAAGCGGGAACAACAAAGGAGGGCGCTTCGCTTTTTGGATTCATAATTAAAGATGGAAAACAATATGGAACGGGAAATGTTGTCATCTGTTGAGATGCAGCCTTACAGCCATGTATCTGCTTCGACTTGATCTTCTGAACAGACTGTCAGCTGAGTTTGCATTATGCTTGATCTTAAATAGATACTTTATTCATGAACTGCACAGTTTAGCTGCCATTTGCACTCATCATTGCTGACAGTCCACTTCCCAGCATCGTGAAAAAGAAAAAAAAAATAGAATATTCAATGTTTCATTGTTTAACCAAAGTATCTTCCACTCTATAAAATAACACTCGCCCTGTGGCTATGATAAAGCTACACTTTCAGTCATGCAACAGTAATTCTTTGGTTTCTTCGTCCCCGTTTTCCTTCTGATGTCTTGCCAGAGTAATCGAGGTAATCTCTAGCACGAGAAGGGTGGAAAGAGAGGAGATGAGGAGTGTGGAGAATAGACAGGA